AAATTGCTAAGAATTGCTTAAATTGTAGCTCCTGAAGTCAGCTATACTTGAGTTTACATCGTGCTCTGTCACGCATTTGGGACCTTAGGACAACTTACTTATTAATCTGTATGTGCCTGTGTTTCCTTATCTGTAAAATGGGCATAAAAATAGTACACATCCCACAGGGATAATGTGAGGATTTAAAGCAATAGAGCACATAAAGTACTTCACACAGTATAAAAGCCTATGGTTAGCTTAATAAATAGTAGCTATCATTATTATCATTATTATTACAATTTTGGTTGCAGATAGTCAACCAATTGTAAGTCTACACACATTATCAAGAATCTAGAGAGAAAGGAGCAATTGATTTTGCATGGGAGAGTCTAGCTAGACTGCACTGAGGAGTCGGCATTGAAGAGCAGTCTTGAAAAATGAACAGAATTTCAATTGAGAGTGAAGAGAAAGGTGATTTTGGGGAAAGGAATAAATTCAGTATCTAGCATGTTGACTTTGAGATCTCTACAGTCAGCTGGAAAAAGCAGTCTGGATTTATCAGAAAGATTCAGGCTCGAGTTGGTTGATTACTATTAAACCGATAATACTAAGAACTAAAACCACAGGAATAAATTGGAAGACAAAGGGAAAAACTGTAGACTGAGAAAAGGCAGAGGTGGGGAGCATAAAAATTTAAAGCAAGGGCAGAAGGGGAATCTTGGAAGGCAAAGAAATAACAGAAGAGATCTAGGGAGACATGTAGGAGAGAGCAGGTTTAGAGAAGACTGACTTATTCAAACAGGTGTCAAAATGGAGCCTAAACCCCATTGGAGGACAGAGGAAGTCACTGAACTTTAACCTGAGAAGCTACATGCGCAACGTGCAGTCCTTGGACTCAAGATACACCTGGGCTCAAATCCTCCTTCTTACCCTTTCTAGCTGTGTAAACCTTAAGATACTTTCCATCAGTAGTCATCGTATTCCACATTGGTAAAATAAAAATAGTAGCCTCTACCTTATAAGATTGTTGTGAGTTAAGAATGAGCTAATGCATGTAAAGCACTTAGGAAATTGCTGGATAATGAAAAACATGTGTACACCTGGGAAAATATAAATTGGTCAATGCAAATTTAATACGAGAGAAAATAATAGAACAATCATCAAATTACTTTCCATCACTAAGAGGAGTCCTACATAGTATGTAACAATTCAAGTTGGATTTCTGGACAAACAAATAATGTCAATGTCAGACCAATTTAATTTTCTTTCTTTGAAGACTATTAGACCATGTAGGTAAGAGGAAAGCAAAAGATTGAATACAGCTGAACTAGCTGGGCTTTCTACCTGTCTCCATGACATTTCTGTCACGAGGCTAAAGAAATTGGTTAGAACAGCACGTCCCCAAAAGAGTGTTGTATAGAAAGTTATTAAGTATTCCATGAACAATTAAGTTTGGGAAACACAGGATAAAATAGATTACTTTACTATAGGATTTTCAAATGTTTGTAATAAAGTAATATGAATATCTAAGAGTCAGTATAGTGTACAACATTTTCCAAACTTATTTGGCCAGAGAATTCCTTTAAGGGTCATAGAGCACGGTTTGGGAAGCAGAGGTGTAGAATGATATCATATTATTTTTCCTGGAGTTACAGTTCCTAAAGGTTGATTACTAAGTTTTCAGCATCTATATGTAGAAAAATATCATGTGTTAGTTCACAGGGACCGGAATTTAAAGAGGCGTTACTTAATACACATTTATATGGCTTTAAAGCACCCAAAAAACACACTGAGTCTTGAATAATAAGTATGATGAATAAAAATATCATCATAAGAGTTATTACTTCTGCCTCTGCCAAGTCTATTGTAGTGAAAAGCATAGGGAAATGTGATGTGTCCCACAGATTGGGGTGGCTATTTTAGAGTATTGGGGCTCTGTACTCTTCTCTCCTGGCTCTACATGCTCCATTCAAAAGTGGCCTTGGAGGTGTTCCAGAATTCAGGACTTCCAAAGCCATGTGATTCCCAGCAAGGTCCCAGTTTAGGGTACCTCTGAGTGATGGGTTGAGGTCTTTGAAGGGAGATCTTATAATTTCCTGGTTTAACGAAGGCCTCTTAATTCTTTTGCTAAGAGTGGGCAGGAAGTGACCTTCCTGTTCAAAAATTACCTTGGCTGCTTGAGATTCTGCTAAATCCAGAGATTATTTAGTATGGGTGGCATTTATAGGCCAATGAGAAGTTGATATTGAGGGATCAGAGGTTGCAGCCATTCCTTTTTTACTTCTTAGGTTTTGTGCTCTTGTATTAGGATATGGCATATCCTAAGTGTCCCTCTTAAATAACTGACTTGTAATGCACCAACTAGAGTCATGTATGTGTGTGTGCATGTGTGTAAGAAAAAGCCAATGTAAAATGATAATCATAATAGTGCTAGAAGTCCTGTGCTTGGCTTGAATTTCCACACTAAAAAATCAGAAAAATTCCAGAACAAGCAATCAGGTAAGAGACAGGAAAATTTTATCACATGAAAAATGCAGTTGATGATATTCAGCAGGAGAAGAAAAGAAACTGGGGTCAATATAGATCTTTTACTACTTAAAAAGAAAAAATGGTTGGAAATTAGGAGACACTCAATATTAATGTTAAGAAATACCTTTTATAATAATTAAAATTGTCCAATAATGGACAAATCTGCCTTATGAAAAAAATTCTAAAACTAAAATTATTTTTGAACACTTATTTTGTGACAGGTGTTATGCTAAACACATCATATGCATTAGTTTATTCAATTTTCTCAAAATCCCTATGGGGTAAGAACTGTTACTATCCTCACATTACAGATGGGAAACAGGGTTGGAGAGGTTGGGTTACTTTCTCAAGATCACATAGCTAGTGAATGGATGAACTGGGATTTGATCCTAGAACCTGTGTACTAAACCACTAAATGGCTTCCTTCCATCCTTGGATGTTTTAAAGCACAGTATGGTGTGTCAGAGATTTAGTTTAAGGGGTTCTTTCCATTGCAAGACTGGACCATCGCAGACAATCTCTAAAATCGTTCATCTACTTTCTGCCATACTGAGGACTACAACATTGAATTGAACCTCCTTGGCCAGTGTGTCCATCTGTCACCTTCCTATTTTAACAGAGATGTGGAAAAGTCTAAAAGTCTAGAGAAGGCAGTAAAAACTAAGAGATGGATGCACAATGGAACCTATAAGGAAAATTGAAAGAGGTTGCTTCCTTTGGCCAGGGAGTGATCTGCAATATGCAAAAGGTTGGGGGTATGCAAGTCATTTCCACAGAAAATATAACAAGAAATTCATTTTAGTGAAAAAGCTTGGTTGGCATCAAAAGGTCTTCCCAGTGAAAATGCCTTGAAATAAACAAGACTTTGAAGCATAGTTATGGATAGAATAAGAATAGGGCCATGTTAGAATAGAAGCCAACGCCATCAACAGCAGCTCACCAAGTTGCCTTTCTGGTAGTCTTGACAAGCCCTGAGGATGAGCCAGAATGCCAGTAAGTGTTTGTGAACTTCGTTCTCTTCCATCCTGTCTCATTAAAGAAGCAGCAGATACTGATGTGAAATATTCATCTAGGGACACCTTTAAACTAAATGTGACAACCCTGGTGACAGGGATTCTTAGGTAGCCAGCCACAGGGTATCACAACAAATAACCTCATGAGATTCTTTCTGAATTCATGTGTCTATGACCCTCAACAATTGAAGCAAACCCATAGAGTCTCCATTAATAAAATCGCCTTGAAAAATCAACATTTCTGCTCTACGGTGCTTTAATGTATTAATTTTAGGAGTTAGACTGTCAGTTTTTTCTTTAACACAGAAAGAAACTGAATACGCTTAGAAAGAGGGATTTTTTTTTTTTAACCTTTTGAAGGAATTTTTTTTCCTGCTTCATAGAAATTTTATCATAATTTCATGCCCCTACACTTCATGGCTTGTTACTCTGTCTATTACTCTTACGTTTAACTTGATAAGGTCCTGGTTCCTGTGATATTAGTTTTTAGGTTTTGGTTTCTCACAGCTGCTGCTCTGAAGTGCCTGATAACATTCTTAGCCTTGCACAGAGCCAGTGGCTTTTCAAGTTTTCATTCTCCCACTGCTCACCGTCTTGCTGCTTCTGTCACTTCTCACTTGAATGGGTATATTCTCAGCCTCACCCTTGTTCCACTTTTGAAAGAGGGCAAACCTAGAGATTTTGCAAGTGGCTAATCGGTCCATCCATGGAATCGGGCAGTTTATTCTGGAAGTGATCACTTCTCTCCTTGAGCATGTCAGAGTGTGTTTTCCCATGGAGGTTCAGGGATATCAGTGGGACAAACACAGGGGTGTTAATGGGGCATCTCGCATGGGTCGTAAACACAGATAATGCCTGTGCTCTTTTCATATGCACACAAATATCTCTTTTCTTAATGTGGTACCTGCAGGCCTACAGTCATGCTCGTTATCTAAAGGCCTCGACTGACAGGATCCATGCCAGGCATGACCTCAACTGCTGGTATTTGGAAAAAGCCAATTATTTCACTGGGCAAAGTTAGGGCAGTTAAAGTTGGAGAGGGAAACATCTTCTGGACAAATCATCTCTCAGGTTACCCAGTATGGGAATGGGGTTCTAAATATGTAGAGAATTTCTGGAAGTTGTTTAGGGTTAAAATTAAGTTAGAGTTGGGAGTTTTAAATGCCTTCTATAGGAAATTAATTTGAGGCAGGAAGAAAGGAACCTCCTGTTTCATGCACTTAGAAAAAATTTCTCCTGTGATTTCCATCATTTCCCAACACATCTGATGTGAATGTTGGAAGACTGAATTTAACAGATGATCCAAGTGTTAAAACGTGCTTACAAGTGGTAAGATAGGGACTAAAGCTTTAGCTGCATTTTGAAGAGGAATGGTCATACAACAGGTAAGAGGAGTAAAAGCACAATTGCAAGCGAAATTGAGAGGAACTATCAGCTCATCGTGCACAAAATATGGTGTTACCGAGCAAAGTTACTCACAGGTATTTGCAGTGCCTTTGGGGATGGGGAGATACGAGCCTGGACTCCAAGGTCGGCCCTGATAATTCTTCTTGCATTTCCCACAGTCTGGACCTGTAGTGTTGTGCTCACATTCACAGGTCAATTTGCTGTTGTCATACACACACACAGTGGCATGGAGATTACACTTGCACCTAGGCAGAGAAGAAACAAGAGTTCATTGTAAGTCAAGTTGGTCTCAGCGAGCATTGAGGCTTTACTCATCTATCTCCTAGGGTTGTGGCTCTCACATCCTGCAGTGCTTGAGTGCTACATAGAGGCTCTTGGCAAAGTGTAGATTTGCAGGCCCCTCCCTCAGAACCTTCTCAACAAGTGCTCTTGGGGGGAATACATGGTGGTGGTAGTTACCATGCAGCCGGTCCTCACATCACACTTGGAGGAATCCTAATACCAGTCAGTCAGTTCAGTGCGGGGCCTGAAGCTCCCACGTGATACCTGTGTTCCAAAATCAAGAGTTTCCCAACAGGTATCCAAAATATTGCCACTAGTGAGAAGTTTTTCTGTGATATTATCAGATCTAGGAAAATTTCATCTTGGGTTTCATCTGGGTTTAAATAACAATGTTATCTTCTGTTTTTCCTTGAATCAGAAGGACAATTCTTATTTGTTTAAAAAGAAAGATAACTATTAAGACAATCTGTTATTCAGAGTTATTTTTATAGATCCCAAGAGGTTATAATCAGGTAGGTGTTCTCATTCCAGGCTTTAAAATGACATTCCCTCAGATAGGGAGAGTTTTTCCACCAAGACTCTCCACTCATGGCAAAAAAGATGATCCCAAAGTTGTCTCAAAAATGGGTCAAATGACTCAGATGAAAGATGCTTAGAATCCTAGAAAATAAAAACCTATGGGTGGCAGGAGTTTGAGGTCATTAGCAAAGGCCTTGCCTTTGGTGCCCATGAATAAAGCTGTGATACATGAGAGGCAATAGTGGAATATGCAATTTCCACAAAAATACACTCCTATATCCAAAGTCTTGGATTGCAAAATTGCAAAGACCAACATGATATTTGTTGAAGTAGCAGGTTATAGATTGTAACACCAAGCACGGGCTGCATCCTCTGGAAAAGTAAAATCTAGGTTGAAAGAATGACCATGACCAGGGGTCAGAACAACGTATGTGGGAAGAGATGTGTCCACCCAAAGGAGAGAAACAAGACTCCCAGGCTGGGGAATAAAGGACCAAGATCTGTCCAAGCCTGAACCTGAAAATGTTACGTGTGTGTGTGTGTGTGTGTGTGTGTGTGTATTTTTAAATGAGCCTGGCCTCTTCCAGGAAGACAAAAATATAGAAAGTCAAGTTTCATAAAGACAAAGAAATACTGTGGTGTTTTACATTTGTTTTCTTTTGTAGCAGAGGTCATGAATTGGAGAAAGTAACAATACTCTTTCTTAGGTAGGAAAATAAGATTCTTTAACAACTGATGTTGGTTTCTATAAAGTCTATAAGGAATATCCAAGTTTCTCTTTTGTGCATCAATGATCTGTTTGGAACCTTGACCCACACTTATGGCAAGGAAGTAAAGGAATGGCTAAGACTATTACTGAGAGCTTCTGGGTTCTCTTCTAACTAAAAGTTGTAGCCCCCAAAGCAATGGACCCACTCAGCCTCCCTCCGTAAGACCAAGCCTCAGCTTCCTCAGGGGTCTACTACAATTTGTAATACTTGTAGCCACACTCTGCCCTCTGTATAGTTATGAATTGTAATAAGCTGGAAAGCTACTATTTAAACAATACCTGTTCAACTTAGACATATAAACACAACCTTTAATAATCAACATTTGTACAATCTTTTAAAAAGATAAGAGAAAAAATAACTCAGTTAAGTGAAATAGACAGTGTTTAATCATGAACTAGGTCTTGTAACAATCTCCTATATGCAGGGAGTTACTTGTGCTAAGTTACTTATTAAAGGATCTTTTTCTTTCCAACATTAGCACTTTTATTTATGGATGTGTTTATATATATATATACATATATATATAAGATGTTTGAAACCTAAGTGATAGAAGCACCAGCTTATACTGATTTAGCAGCCTTCATCTGGTGTTAAAAATTCCAAATGAGGAAATGAAAAATGTGACCCCAAAGAATATGTTGGTTTCACGTGTGAAGACCAAGAATGCAAGTAGTAATTGTAAATTGGATTATATATCTTGTAACTCTTAATACTTTCATACTTGTAGTTGCGCTCTCAGTTACAGGCAATTTCCATTCTAAAGACTTTATATTCTTTGAGAAAATATTCTTTGAATAACAAAAGGAGATGAAAGAAGAACAGATGAATGTTTAGTCTTACTTTTCTCAGATTTCTTCCAATTTATGGTTCATTCTTACCTATCCAAAAGCTTATTAATCATTCAAGGCTTGATTCAATTCATAACTCTTCCCTGAAATCTATCCTGACCACTGTGGACACCCTGATCTCTACTCTTCTGATTTCCTTAAATGCTTCTGTATGTTTGGTTTGGTTGATTGTTACTTGAGGCTCTTGTGCTTTCAAAATTTTTACTCACTGCACAAATCTCTCCTATCTTAAGAGGGGAAAATATCCACCTTGTACCCTCGCCTTCCAGCTACTTCTTTAACACTCTCCTCTCTTTTCTTGAGTTTCCTACACTTGCCGTCTCCATTTTCTCATCTCCCGCTTATCATTCTTTCCAACTAACCACAGCCTCTCTTGCCAAGATCACCCATGACCTCCTGTTGAAAATCCAATGGATACCTTGCCTTGCCTTATTTGACCCCTGAGGGGATTTGACTCTGTGGACCACTCCCTTTTCCCTAACACGCCCTCCTCCCTGGATTCTCAAGCTCATTTTCAGAACCCCCTTCTTCTGTGTGTTCTCTTCATGTGCTGTTCTTTGGGTTCTGGGCCAGCACAGTGAGCCTAAGTGACTCTTCTTGGGTACTCTGATCCAGGTTGTCCCTTCGGTTTCCTCTGTGGTCCTTAACTGCCTTTGAGTTATAGGCCTCTTAAAGCAAACTTGCATCATTTATTTCCCCAGAAGAAATAAACATATGCAAAATAAGCTCAAATATTTGAAAACATTTTAGGAGATTCAGAGATTCTCTGTTATCCATAGAGATCCATAGTACCCTCTCCCTCCATCATTACCAGGTGAAGATTATCTGATCAACATGATGATAAGTCCTGGATCTGTGTCTCCATCGCGGATCTCTCTCCTGCGAATGTGAAACTCAACATATCCAAAAGTGAATTCTTTGGCTTCTCTCTCCCACCTACTTCTCCCATGTTTTCTGTCTCAGTAAGTTGCATGACCTTCCAGTCAGTCAGTCAAGAATGACTCCTCCCTCTTCCTTTCCTATCACACCTAATTTTTTATTACTCAGTCCCTCACCAAGTTCTGAGATCCCTTGATTACTCTAGTCACTTCCACTTCCCTAGTTGAGATCACCATCATCTTTGGTCTGGTTTATTACAATGGCTTCTAAACAGACCTGACTGCCTCCATTCACAGTCCTCTCTAGCTCCATCTCAATACAATAACCAAAACAATCATTTACACAAATTATTTGGGTGTCCCTGGCTTAGAACCATTAAAGGATTTCTCATTCTTCTCAGAATAGAGTCCAAGCTCTACATAACGTGGTGTACAAGTCCCCCTGAAGTCTATGTCTTGTCTCTTCTCCAGCCTCATCTGCACCACTACCAATTTTACACTTAGTTCTCCAAACTTTGCCTTCAGGTAAACTTATAAGCTGTTCCTTCTGCCTAGAACATTCTACTCTCCTACCTCTACCTCTTTTATCTGCATAATTCTTACCATTCAAGTGTCAGCTTGGAAATCTCAGTGTTTCATTCCTACTTGACATTCAAAAAGCATCTGCAGATCAACTATCTGAACGCTTTTCTAATCCCCCAGAATGCCCTTCCTATGTGCTCCTCTGACACTAGAAAAGGTGAGTCACATGATAAACCTGAACCATCTCTGCTACAGACCTAGGTTGTATTGTAATTGCTTATTCTTCTGTCACTCTCACTGGAGTGAGCTCCTGGCAGCAGCAGCCATGTTTGCCTTATTTATTGTAACATCTCTAGCACATGTCAAGGTGTTTGGCACATAATAAATGCTTAAAAAAATTTGACAAATAAACAAATGACTAAAAAACAAGTCAACTCCTTGAAAGCAGAAACTTCATGTGCCTGTTCTATTATGCCTACCATGACAATTGACTAAAAATAGAGAATTGGTAGGCATTGTACTAAATTAAACTCTATGATGTGTGCTGGAAATTACCACATGCCCTTCCCATTGGTTTTCATAAGTAATCTTGTAATAGGCAAAGGGAACTCTATAAAGTTGGTGAGAACTTGTAAACCCTATTTGATTTAATTTAAATTCCAGAGGATTTGCCAAATGCCTGAAATCTAACACAAGAGCTATCCTAAAAAAAATGCCTGAAAGACCCAGAAGAATACAGCTTAGAGGAGTGGAAAAACATAGCATTTGTGTAGCATAGTTATTCTGGAATGTGCATCTTTTAGCTTCAACTTCTCATGCAAGGATTAGCACCCTGGTTCAGCTGAAGTTTGGCAGAGCGTTGCTTGGGTGCTGGCTAAAACTATATCTTCTCCAACAGTAAATCTGCTGACCTAGCTCAGCTTCCGGGTTGTCTTTCCTCAGTCATTGTGACAATTGCCGTGCCAGACCACGACATTGGCCTGTATCTGCAAATGGCTCCCTTTCATTTTCCACAGCTCAGTTTATTCTTGTCACCCTATTCCAATCAGACGCTAAAATCCTTTGTTTAGAGCCCCTGCCAGAGTGGCTTTTCCTCCAACGGAAAAAAATGGATTTCGCAATGCTGGGAGATTGCTCTCAATTCCTGGTGTTATGACCTCTGGCCTTGTGATGGGGTGGAGGGCAGATTTCCGTGACATCTACTTGTCTCTGACAGGTTCATTATCCATTTCCATGGCCATTCAGCTCCCATGTCTACCATCACATTAGGTGGGGGAGGAACTGTACAAGTGGAGACTAACAGGCTTCGCTAGCAGTCAAATATCTGATGTTCTGGAGAGCGAAGCCTATTCATCGATTCTGTTTACACACACAGAACTCACACCAAGACACTGCAGATAGAGATAATTGACTTGCTTGTCCCTTG